TAGTACAGCAGCAGGTGTAGACACAGAGCAGGTGGAGGGAAGGAGGGAGGAGTGACAGAGTGTGTCCCTCTTGTGAGCAGCCACACATCTGCTGTTTGTAGAAGCCTCTTGTGATATGTTTGCTGAAACAAGCACGTACATGCTGCAACCGTCAGTCTGTGTTTGACAACTAGCATTCATTTCTGTAGGATGGCTAGGGATTTGTTTCCACAGTCCATAACGTCTGAGACTTTTGAAGGTGGAGTGCGGGCTTTTGCCGTAACTTCCCCACTTTCATCCATATCAACTTTGTCTCTCACCTGCTCAAAGAAATGTCTTTCTTGGGGCAGCTAGGTTGCGCAGTGGATAGAGCACCAGCCCTGAAGTCAGGAGGACCTGAGTTCAAATCTGGCCTCAGACCAAACACTTGACACTTACTAGCTGTGTGACCCTGGGCAAGTCACTTAACCCCAATTACCTAAATAAAAGAAAAAGAAATGCCTTTCTGAGTCTCTGTTGGAGCTCTTGGGCCCCAGACGAGGTAACTTGAGCAGCTGCAGATACAGAGGGATGCCATGAAAATCCAAACTGCATGATATAATTTTTAATGACTAGAAGCATTTTCCAAAGCCCAGGATCTCTAACAAATAGAGTTCAGAGCAGGAATGAGACTTGCAGCTCTGCAGAAGTCTACCTGTATGTGGGGATATTGGCTCCCTCAGAGCCCCGTGGTGAGCTTGGTACCAGTCACAGCAGCTGTTTGTCCTTCGTTCTGGAAGAGACATCAGGAAGGTGATGCCATGACTTGCAAGTGAATGGATTTAAGTGAGGGAGGGCCTTGCAAAGTCACCAGCCTCACTTTCTCCTTCAGAGTCATCTGGGTCCAGTGGCAAGATACAGATCAGGACTGGAGATGGCCCCCAGCCACAGCAGTTAAAGCCTATGCAAAGGAGCCAATCTTTTCTTTTCTCACCAAACCATGAAATACTCATCACTTCAGCTAGAGTAATCAACTCCCAAGGCTTTGGGGGTGGGAGCTTCCTGCCCTTTCTGTTCACACGGGGTCTGGCATCTTTCTGCAGGTGTCTGGGAAACCCATGAGAGAATAAGTAAAAATCAAAAGACAAGGCCTTTGCCAAAAGACAAGGATTCATAGGCTTCTAGATTTAGAGATGGAAGGGACTTCAAAGACCATCCGGTCTAACCCCTTCACTTTACAGAGGAAAAAACTGAGGCTCATAGGAGTTAAATAACTTCAAGATCACAGAGGCAAATAAGCTGCAGAGTCAGGATTCAAACCTAGGTCCTCTAATTCCAAATCTTGGGAGATTTAAGTTAAAGTACCAAGCATTACAATTGTTCTTGTTTTTATGCTCAGATACTCCAATGGAGCTGTGACTTCATGAAACTGGATAGTCCCAAAAAGGAACACATGGCAGCCCAATCACATCTGCCCCGTCCTGTATAGCTCACATCCATGTCCGCCCCTAAGTTCACCATCGGGGCAAACTATTAGATTATAGAATCATGGATCCAGAGCAGGAAGACCACCTAGTCCAATCCTCTCATTTTGTAGATGAGAGACATTGAGGCCCAGGGAGGTTAAGTAAATACTACAGACAATATTCACTTTATGTAATTCAATGGGGACAAGCAACAGGACCCCTGGATGGCTGGTGGTAGGTCTCCTGCTTCCGGCAGGGGCCGCAATGGGCTGCCAACACAGGCCCAAGCCCGAAATCCTCTGCCGGCTGTGGGAATGAGGGGAGGCGGGCAGGCACTGAAGCCACTCTGGCTATGGGGGCCATGGATAAGGCTGGCCCCACCTGGGGAAGAGGAGGGCTGGGGAATGGTCCACTTATGTTAAACGAGAACTGGCTATGTTGTGAATTCTTGTTCTAATTTTTTTACAAGTCACATACTTCCAGATTTCAGTGGGAATATTTGACCCTAGCAGTATATAGGAATGCATTTCAATGGTGCAGTTCGCCCCCGATCCCCATTGTCTCATCCTCTGTCATCCTTGCCCATGTCTTGCCTTAAATCCTCCCAAGATCTGCCCTTCTTCCAGTTCTTTTAATATTCTGTGACTATCAGATAATGACTCCCCTTATCCACTCATCACAAGTAATAACCTCACAGATTTGATCATAACCTCATCTGGGTGGATCAAGGATGATCATGATGTATATTGGCTTTCAATTATGTGATCAATCAACAAGAATTTATTAAAAGTCTATTTTATGCCAGGCACTGTGCTAGGCACTGGGAATACAAAGACAAAATTGGAACAGTACCCTGCCCTCAAGAAGCTTACATCTCCTTTTTGTTAAGAAAGCCTCACCACCAGGCAAAGAACAAACTTGCCAACCAGTTTATGTGAAGGAGGAAGAGAGGATGGATATGGAAATGAAATAGAGTCACTTTTCTGAAAATTTAGTTTATAAGGAAGGGTAAATGGACTGAAGTTTGAGACAGTACCTAGAAGTTATATAAAATCTAGAGGGAAAGGAAAGAGATTAATTCATATTTTTATGAGTTAGAGACCCAAGTTAGCTGGGATTTAGATAGATGCAGAGGCAGCAATTTCCTGCTAAAATGAAGAGGCAACCTTTGGAACTAGATGGAAGAGTTCGAGTCACATTTCTTTATTGACTGTGGAAGTGGATTGAGGGAGCATGGGTAGCACTGAGGAAGAAAATATGCGCATACAGAACAAAGGAACCAAGTTCCAGGGCTAAGACAATGACCTAGTTATCCTGGGAGTAAGACATAAGTAACTTACCAGGTTAGCCAAGAGGTGCCCATTTCAATAACAAGGTTATGTGCCTGTAAAGAGCAGCCTGTACACTACCAGTATCTACAGGTGAAGCGCTCTTGTGTTCTACACCGATTATTGAGCATATACTGCGCTAAAAACAGCAAAGGAGATGTTGCATGAAGAAAAAGTCAAAGTCCACAATGGAGAAAATTGTGGAGGAGAACTCCTCCATTCTTTTGAATAGGGGAGGAAAAAAATGTGATTGATAGAATGCCAGAGGGCCTTTTATGTTAACATTTACCCTGGGTCCATTTCATCACATGGATAAATCTTGTTCAATGAAAAAAGCCTTTGGATGAGAGTCAGAAAACCTGAATTCTAGCATGAAATTTTCCAGAAGTTAACCTCAGCCATATTATTTAAACTCTCTGAGCCTCAGTTTCTTTACGTCTAAATGAACATGAGTGTGTTTTGCCTAACATATCGTAAGACTGGTGTGAAGATAAAGTATGACAATAGATGTTAAGGCACTTTATAAAATAATATAAAGACCATGGATTTGAAACTGGAGGGAATCTTACAGGTCATCTAGTCCAACAGATAAGAAAACCAGAAATGTTAGGTGACTTTTCCAAAGTCACACAGGTATTAAGTGGTAAAGCTAGGATTTGAATGCAAGTTCTCTTACTATAAATCCTATGCTCTTTCTATCGAACAATACAGAAAAAATTGTCATAACAAAATAGGGAATGACATTTTGTCTTTTTTTGGTTTAAAAGTTATTGAGGTACCAGTTACAAGATAACCCAGAAGGCAGAAATTTGTTTCAAAAGGTTTCAAAATTAGATTAAGTGACCACAAAGCCAATGTCCACAGAACTGTAGTTATTCATTGAGTCTATCATGAAATCTCTGACATTCAGCCTGCTGAGAAGAGAAACTCTCTGTCATTTAGTATTTGGTGAGCTAGAACTTTCTGTTACATTAACTCAGATAGCATGTTTGTAAGCCTTTTTGTTAAATCCATTTATGCCTATACAAGTGAAAACACAAAATGGCAAAAAAAACAAACTCCTATAATGATACTACACATCCTTCAAACCAACATGATGAAGTGATTCTTCACAAAAATATATTTTCCTACCCTGGGCCATCCCACAGGAAAAAAATTGAAATTAAGAAATAACAAAAATTTCATAAAAGCCTATTCTTGCAACCCCATGGCAGACAGTGCTCATTTTTTATAATGTGGAGAGTGAGAGTTTAGAATTGGGGTTTTTTCCCCATTCCTCAAACAGCAAAAGCTATAATCATTAGAGCATTAATTCCAGAGCTTATAGCTTTTATTTACACATAAATAATAGCCCCTTCTCAGGGGATTTTTAAGGCATCCAAGAAAGATTAAATTATGCTTAGTATAATTTTAGTATTAATTTTTTTCCTTGAGATATGATTTGTTGAAAATTGTTGTTCCATAGGTATATATGGCAATTCTATTAATCTTGTACATGACACTCCCCAATCCTGCCAAATAGCAGAGTACTTGGTATACTGTTATTATTAACATTACCATTGGCCAGGCAAATCATAGTCCTAATTTAATCTTGAGATCATTATCAAAATTTAAATTCTAGATCCTCAAACAAAAATCTTAGGGAATGCCCCATTACCTTTTTTATTAACTGTAAAATACATAGTTCTATAGCAAAGAGTGAGTCTCTCTTTTTATTGGGCCTTCCTATGATGCAGGGGTCTGCTTGAGCAATATTAGATCTATGGCTGGCAGAAAAAAGTCTGATTATATAACAAAATCTAAAAGTACTGCTTTGTGATTTGGCATAATGCTAAGGTTCTTGTAGAATGGCTAATTCAGATAACCTATTTGTTATCAGGAGGCAGGTCAAGGGGAATAGCTTGCTTATGTTTCACCTTTTCCCCTTTTTGGTTCTTTGTATCAGTGAGGATCGGATATGAGGATGTCACAAGGTGGGTAGGCCATCACCAAAATTCCATCAAAAACATTTCCATTCTGGGAAAAATGAGGGCGGGGGAGAGGGAAGAGGAGATATTCAGATGCTGCATTGGGGAGATATTCTAAGGGTGGGTGCATTTGGCACATTTTTATTTTCACCTGCTCAGGTCTTTTTGTGGAAACCATCTCATTGGATTAGGTCAAGTGTATATTCATTTAAAAGATAAATCTTCCAAAGTCCATTTGCTGATCAGAGCCCTTCTAACCTTGATTTCCCATTCCTCTGCAGGTGCCCAACTCCTGGATGTGATGGTTCTGGTCACATAACGGGAAATTATGCATCACATAGGAGGTAAGATCTGCATAGAAATTATTTAGTTCTAAAGTTAGTGAAGATGGGACAGGCACCATATGGAGGGAAGGGTAAGATGGATATGGGGTGGACAATGTTATAAAATTATGAATAAAACACTGAGGTTGCTAACAGTTGAAGCCTATTTTTATCTCTTTAATGTGAGATTTTTTTTGGTGTTTCTGGCATTTGATTAGATAGATCTTTTTAGTAGAATACAAGGACAGAAGGTCAGATTTTAGTTAATGTAATGCTCCTCTTAATAAGTCTGCCTATTTATGACTTCTATTATCACTTTAGAACATTAATAGGGTAGATCTAGTGCTCTTTTTTTTCCAACAAACTCATTAAAATTACAGTCTGTTAGCAAATACCTTATCTAGACACCATTAATTACAATCTGTCTCTCTACACACTCTCATCACATATCCCCCAAATATGGGTGTAAAAACTCCACTTTTCTACATGATATGAATGAGATCAAACATTGTGGTAAACTCAAGAAAAAAAGAATGAGCCAAATAGGTGTAGGAAGTTATACTTCATGGAATAAAACAGTATTTTTTTCTTTTTAAAAAACATAGTTTGTCAGGCTGCCCTCGTGCCAAGAAAAGTGGAATAAAAGTAACACCTACAAAAGATGATAAGGAGGACCCAGAGCTGATGAAGTAAGTCTTCCTGAAGAACTAATTAATTCCTCTAAGAATTGAGTTAGTTTGTTTTGCTAACTTTAGAACAGAAACTAGGATCTTTCCAACTTTGAGAAAAAAAGGCATCAGTAGATTTTATTGAAGATTTTGGTCATTGGTAATCACTAGTAACATTGAAAGTGTGTGCAGTGTCTGACATCTAATAGACTAATTAATTTAAATATGAAAAAGAAAGTACACTAAGAAATTTTGTAAATTGGCCTGCGGATTTCGGGAAAGATTCTTCATAATACAATAAGCAGCTGGGGGCACAGTGGATAGAGTTATGGACCTGAAGTCAGAAAGACCTGACTTCAAATCTAGCTTCAGAAACTAATTAACTATGTGACCCTGATCAAGTCACTTAACCTCTGTATGTTTCAGTTTCATCATGTGTAAAATGCAGTTAATAATAGCAAATGCCTCTCAGTGTCATAGTAAGGTTAAAATGTTTGTAAAGGACTTTGCAGTGCTAGCTATTAGTAGTAGTGCTGTGGAAAGAACACTGTATTTGAAATCAGAGGACCTGGGTTTGAATCTTAAGTCAGCTATTTACTACTCCTATGTGATCTTGGGCAAGTCACTTAACCTTAGGCCTACATTACTTATTTGTAAAATGACAGGATTGAATTAGATGGCTTCTAAGTCCTAAATCTGGTCCTTTTGGTCCTAATTCTATGATCCTATAAATCCAGAATTCTCAATATTGCATTTCAAAATGAAACCATTTGAACAATGTCACCCTTGTAAATAAACCCAATAAGGATCGCCAAAGTTGGAGTTATATCTTAGTATAGCCAATAACAACATATGTCTGTATGCACACAGTTTTGAATACTGATAGAAGTCATATAACTGACTCAACATCATGAACTTTTCAAAGGTGTTTTGAATTTTGGAATTTACAGAATTTAACTTCTTGGGGTAACATTTACAACCCACTGTTTTCCTAGAGAATACTTGCTGCTAACAGTCAGGAAGGAAAGACATATTTAAAATAAATTTTGGATTTAACCAGGGTTTTTGGTAGGGAAACTAAACCTATAAGTCTTTAGAGAGCACAATGGAGAATCATCTCCACAGACAGAGAACACACTTTCTCTCTCGCTGTGGATTACAAGGGTACAAATGCATGCACACACAGGCAGAAATGACAATGAATGATCAACCCGAGAGGTGTCTGCCTAGCAAACTCATAGCTTAAAATAACATAGATGACTCAAGCCATCTATCTTGAACCAAGCCCTTGACATCCTCGTGTTTAAAAGAATCTGACTCATGGGATGAGAAATTAGCAGAGGAGGGATCGTTCTTTGCTCTAAGCATGCTAATTTTGCACCAGAAGACAAGATGGACCCCTGTTGTCTTTTTGAAAGCCCAATAACAGGTCTAGAAATAAGAGTGGGAATGTGTTACAGGAAGCATCAGGTCTCTGAGCCCCAGCAACTCATCTGACTGTGGCATTGCCCCATGGTATGTTTGCTTCTGGGTATAGAAGTAGCCCAAGGCTTAGCTGCCTTTCACTGTTAGCCTCCACCTGAGCCTTTATCTTTACACTTTCATGTCCTCCATTAAGTCCTTGTATTTCTCCATTCTCACTTGATTACATCTGGAACAATAATTTGGGAGGTGAGGACTATGAACTAATTTAAAAGCTCTCACAAATTCCAGGGTCCAACTCCTCATTTCTGAGAGAGAGAGAGAGAGAGAGAGAGAGAGAGAGAGAGAGAGAGAGAGAGAGAGAGAGAGAGAGAGAGGGGGCGCTCAGGTTCTCCTTTAGCAAGGATGGGGGGGGGGGTCAAGCTGGAGGGAAGAATAGGTAGAATGCTACTACTGGTTTGTATGGTAACCGCAGCCATGTTTATTACAATGGAGGTAAGTAGTGCTGTGAGCTCTGGAGTGTAGAGCTGCTCTCCTATAATTGAACAGCTCTGTATGAGGGCACTCTGTACAGTAATTGTGCCCCAAATTGGGCACCTCAGATTGAGGTAATAAATTCTGGCAATAAACTGAAGTTTGTTGTAACATACCCTATTCAATTCTAGTGGCTCAGAAAAGCCGGATCACAACCCTCCGAGAATCAGCTTCCAGACGAATAAATGATAGCTGTTAGTTAACAGCTTATTTAGAATCAGGCCGGTACAGCTTGACCATTCACTCTTCCATATCTTATAAATTTAGAGATGGAAGAGACCTTAAAGTTCACATCTAGTCTAGGAGTTCTTAACTTTGTCTATGTCACGGACCTCTTTGACAGTCTGATGAAGCCTATAGACCCCTTCTCAAAATAATCTTTTAAAATGTAAACCAAAATATATAGAACTACAAAGGAAAACATGTATATTGAAATGATAAAAATATTTTTAAAAAACAAGTTCTTAGACCCCGGATGAAGAACTCCTAATCTAGCCTGACACTACCCACTCCCTCATCTCCAGCCATTTTACTCATAAGAAATCTGAACCTCAGAGAGATTAAGTGACTTGCCTAAAATCTCACATAGAGTAAGGAAGTATTAGGGCTAAGCTCTGAACCCAATAAGGGTCTAATGGAAAGAGCTCTGGCTGTGGAGTCAGAGGATCTGGGTTCAAATCCTGCCTATGATACTTACTGTATGTGTGACTTTGAACAAGTCACCTGACAACCTGAGGCCTCAAGTTCCATATGGGTAGAAATAAAATTTTTTTTTTAGAAGGAGGGGGTTGGACTAGATGCCCTCTGATGCCCCTTCTCGCCCTAGATCTGAGGTCCTCTGACCTAAAAGCCGATGCTTTATCCACTGCACCGAGCTACCTTCCCTTCCATCTCCAGAAACTAGGACCAATGACGGCACCTCCCACAGTAAAGGTTCTTATTCTTTTTTTGTCTTAGATTCTACCAGCAGTCTGGTGAAGCCTATGGACCCCTCCTAATAATAATACTTTTAAATGCATAAAATAAAATACATAGGATTATCATAGAAATAAATCTATTGAACTGCAGTTATATATATATATGCATGTGCATACATAAGCATGTGTATATATATATAACAGTTATCAGAATACATACATATCTATATGTGTATATATATACACATACATATATGCATACATATGTGTGTGCATATGTGTGTATGTGTGTGTGTGTATAAAATACACGTTCCTGGAACTCATGTAAAGGTCCTCTGTCCCCGTTCCCTTGTAGCCCAGGAAACTCTCTGCACTCTCTGAAATGCCTCAGTATTCAGGTGTTCTAGAAAAGGGAAGGAACAAAGGAACCCAAAGCTGAAGCACTGGCCAGAAGCTGACAGAACTCCACAGGGGAACCGCTCTGCCTGATTACTTATGAACAGAGGACAAGATGTTCAGGACTCAGGGAGCTCGTACCCAACAACAAGAGGGCAAATTAGCAATAAGAACGAGTCGCCCAAGTCTTTGGGAATGTGGCATTTTGTCTTCTCTAACAAGGTCAGCTCTGGGAAGGGTCCCGGCAGGTTCACATTAAAGCCGCTTAGCGGCAATTCCCTTACTCCGTCTGGGACCAAGAGCTGCTTGGAACAGGTCCGAGTTGCTCTTGTCGTCACTGAGGAGAAAGCAATTTAATACCTGTTGTTTTGCTGTTCATCCTTCAAGTAATTTACTACAGCTGTGATTGAATGGATCGCCTCGACCTCGAGCTCACCCGGGCATACGCGGGAGGCACGGAGGATGGCAGGCAGCTTAATGGACCAGCCATCACGAACGCTTCAGTAGGGGAAGAAATAGACGAAGCCAGCTGTTTTGCACAATAAGGCTCTAGTTTATTTTTTACAATAAGACTGTAATGAAAGTTAAATTAACAGTGTAAAATATGTAATGGTGTGTACCATAAAGGCTGCTGACTAAATGCTGGGGTAGGATGGTGTTTTAAAATTTTGTTAGGTATTTTTTTCCCCTCCTGAGGATTTGATAATTTGTTTGCGATCATATAAAAGCAATGCTGTTATGAATTTAGCAAGGACCCTGATGGCAGGGATGTTATGAGTGAATTGTGCTGCATTTGCAAATGATTAAAATCAAGATCAGCATTTTTCACATTAACTTGGAAAAGCAACTGCCCTGTTTCAATGATGCTGTCAACTTGGCTTTTTTTTTCCAAAAAATGAAATAAAATAAAATGTCTGCAGTGAAGGGGAGACGGTGACTTTCAGAGACAGTTCAGCAGGCATTTTCTAGGGATGGATGATGAAGTTGCTAATTGCTTCCATGCCAAGGCTAGGGAGAGCGGTTCCCATTTAGTACCTCTGCTTTATAGGGTCTCCTCCCCGGAGCCATAAACTTTTAACGGTATTTATAATTGACTAGCATCTTTAAACAAATGCAGACCACAGCAGAAACTTTAATAGATGCACCGGGTTTTGTTGAATGGCTGAATTTAGTTAGCATGCTATTAGCTGGTGATTTTGGAGGGGGTGGGGAAGGAAAAGAGTTTCTTTTTTTTATGGTGTCACTCCCCCACCATGGTGAAATTAGGTTGTGTCAGCATTTGATGCAAATCCCTTTTCTCCCAACTTTATGATCAGCCATAAACTTTTGTGGATAACTTGGGCCGCAGAGTCCTAAGTCAGGCCCTTGCCCCCAGGACTGCTGACCACTGCTGGTCATATCCTCTACGAAGGCTGTCTAGGAAGTCAATCGTTCTTTGACAACACTTTGTCAGTGATATTCTGCTGAGTATTGTAGAGTCTTAGATCTAGAGAAGAAAGGGGCTTCATGGGTAATCTATTCCAGTTCCCTCATCTTACAGTTAAGAAAAAGCTAAGGTCCACAGAGTCTAAGTTATTTGCCCAAGGTCATACAGGTACTAAGCATCAAAGGAAGGATTTGAGCCTCTCCAGTTCTCTGGTTCCATGCACTCTTTCCACTATGGCATGCCTCCTCCTGATGGCAGCAAAGTTGTTATCCATCATATAAGATTAGAGATCTTCTCATCCACTGGCATAACTAATCCTTTCCCTT